TTAAAACATATAAGTGAAAACCTGGATTTCCCCCTATGGGTAAATAAAGATTCATCCTCTTTAAATACTACCTCATAACAGTGGAACTTTTATTTTAAATATGCTTTTAACTTAAGGCTCTTGATTAGGAAACATGTTGACATTCTGTATTTTTTTTAAAAGGGTCCACAAATTAAATTATGTTTAAATGCTTCACATTAAATAATAATATATATCTTAATAAACAGAGCAGGACAACTGAGTACCTTTGAATGTGTTTATTTCAAATATTTACACAAAATGAATTCATCATTCAGGTAAAAAAAGCAGCTTTGAATGTGAGGTAATATTATCGTTCACATGTCTGATATGACACATTAACATTTCAGTGACTTTACATCTCTTCTCCAGACAGCTCGTGCTGTTGCTCTCAAAGCACCACGTGATCACAGGAAAGTCCCACAGCAGTAGTATCGATCTACCAAAAGTCCACAGCAGCATTTGAATGTGTTTGTATGTGTGTGTAAGTCCTTCCTGTTTGAGTTGTTTGGCAGGAAATTCCCCAAAAGTCTTATGAGTTCATTTCTTCTTCTGTGACTCATGTGCTGATTCACTCATTCACACACTTTGAGTCAGCGCCAGTCTCTTGTTTGGACTCATGCTAAGTGTGAATCACCAGGAAACAAAGAATAAAAAACCCTTTAAGTTTCTTCCTCTAACTTTTCCCAGCCTGTGCTCCATCAGGCCTGGTTCCTCTGCCTCTCCGGGGCTCCTTCAGCAGCCGGAGAGCTCGCACTGTGGCCCGGGTAATCCTTCAGTCCCGGGACCGGCGGTGTCGCTCAGCTCCTCGGTGCGTAAAAGGGGGTCAAACCAGCCCTTTTTCGGTTACGTAAAGTTCAGAATCACTCCATTACATAGGAGGTTGTTTTGTCCCCTCAGAAGGCAGCTATCGCCCGGTTTAGATTCAGAGACAACGCGCTCAGAGACTCCGCTCCTCGGCAGTGTGGAGCCGCGTGCCTCTCCTCCCCGGGCTCCAGCCTCGCCCTCTTAATGGGCAGGAAGTCTGGCGCCGCCGCTGCTTTTCCCCGGCGTTTCCTGGACTGCTTGGTGGGGCTCATGTTCTCTTTGTCCTCTGTGATATCACCCTCCTCACACCCTTCGTCTCCGCTTTCCGACTCCTCTGAGGTCTGGAGCTCCGGCTGAGACTCCGGAACAATCTGTTCCCCCGCTGGGCTGCTGGAGCTCGTCTCCATCGGTTCCGGAGTCGGTTGCGCGGCGCACGGCATCTCAATCTCCCGGGAGGAGTGGTAGATGTCCCGGGCAGACCTCATGACCAGGGAGAGCAGGAGGCTCCGGTGCAGTCTCAGCCCGCCTCTCTGGCTCCTGGAGGCGTACAGCTTGCTTATCGACACGGCCAGGATCCGTCTGGCTTCGGCGTTCACTTCCATAGCGGTTGTGGCAATCATTCTTCTAGTTTTTACGCCGCGTAATTACGCACGGTTAGTTTTGGTTACTTTCTTTTTTTAGTAACGAACAGATAAATCGTATCTGTCCTGAGTTAGACTTTATAGTTTCTAGTTCCTAAGCTCAGACTTCAGATGTTCACCAGTTGTTGTACTCTCAGAAATGAGAGAGAACTTGTAGCTGGGTGGCCTTTTATTTCCTCTTTGACGTAACATGGACTTCATTCCTCAGCAAGTGACAAACAGGCGCCGCCCACACCTGATGTAGCTACCACACACACACACACACACACACACACACACACACACACACACACACACACACACACACACACACACACACACACACCATCTGTTACGTCTACAGTTTTTCTCACAGTTGAGTTTTTATTTTTTTTATTTAGAATCCTGATTCTGCTGCAAGTCGTTTCTCGCATCCCATTAGATACAAATATCTAATTTACTAAAGCCAATCCTGGAGGGTTACACTCTATATTTGATCATTATTCAATATTTTAATTGCATGAAATCCTTTTTCTCAGAGGTCTAAACATGCAAATCACCATACATGTCTTCTGGTACTAAAATCATGAAATGAGAGTTACATCTAGATACTTATAAGAAAGCATGCGTGCAAAACATTAAATATAGCTCATTTTATTCCAGGAAATACTATGATTTGTTACAGACATGCAAACATGCAGTGTATTAGAAACACATTTACTACTACTACTACGTGTCTTTAAAACATAGTGTACACAAATGTTGTTATTATCAGATTTCTATACTGAAAGTTGAAGAAAAGGTACATTTTATAATCTAAAACCACATTTTATATCGATATTTAACACAACTTAGTGACATTTCTGTCTAACCTTTATCACGACAAGAGGAAGTGTTTGACAGATTGCCAGCTCACTGTCTGAGGAAGTGTTTTAGTGAACCGTATTAAAGCGACTGATTGTGAGAAGTGGATCCAAAATAAAGTGAGTTAATGTCAGTGTTTACATTCTGGTAATAAATAAAGTCAGTCAGCAGTTACAAGAATCTACGTGGGACAAATAAACGTTTCACGGGAGTTTCTGCTCTTCCTCTTTCTCTCTCACACAAACACTACGTCACACACTCGCACTCTCACACTCCATATATGGTCCATCCGGTTGTAAACTCCCGTGGGGTCGCGCGCGCTCAGAGGAAAAGCCATGACGTGAACGCGCAACCGCAAACCCTCCCTCCCCTTTCTCCCCTTTTAGGGCCCAGTTACAGTTGTGGTGACGTCATCCGTGCACCATATAAGGAGTTGTCACCGGTGTCAGCCGCGAGCCCGTGATGAGGCTTTCAGGTGCTGTCAGAAAAGTGTCATTATTTATAGATTAGCAAAAAAAAAGAGAGGACTATTCTGCAGATAGACAGAGTTATTTATATGGGTTTTAAAAATGCTAAATATTCTTAAAAATAATCTGAATAATGCAACAACAACACAATGCTAAAATAAATAAATAATAATTAATTAAATACAATAAAATACATTATTTAAAATCATAAGAAATTAAACAAAAATGGTGCCGTTTGTACTTCAATACATTCGAACAATAAATATGTGAACATGTGTACATTAAACACAATACATATAAGTATGATAATCATAATTGCATTGCATTTATTGCACATCTGTAATTTTTGCACACTATCTCTGATGTATTTGTTTTACTTAAAGATAACCAATGATGAAAAATCCACTTCTTCATGTCCCTTCTACATCAACATGTGTCCCCTCTTCCTCATGTCTCTTCTACATCAACATGTGTCCCCTCTTCTTCATGTCTCTTCTACATCAACATGTGTCCCCTCTTCTTCATGTCTCTTCTACATCAACATGTGTCCCCTCTTCTTCATGTCTCTTCTACATCAACATGTGTCCCCTCTTCTCCATGTCTCTTCTACATCAACATGTGTCCCCTCTTCTCCATGTCTCTTCTACATCAACATGTGTCCCCTCTGCCTAAAGAGACTCTGAAAGTTTCAGGAACAAAGATTCTCTCTCTTTTTGATCCATTTCTATAAAAACCTGTCTGAAAATGAGCTGATCAGATTTTGGCCACTTGATGATGTCATCACGATGTTTTGTCTTGTGTAACCATTAG